CAGGCAATTTGACATGGCCAATCCATTTAACCAGCACATCTTTGGACTGTGGGAGGAAGCCTGAGCACCCAGAGGAAACCCACACAGACACAGGAAGAATATGTAAACTCCACACAGATAGTCTGACACATATATCTCCTGTACTGAATTGTCAGCCGGGGATTGAGTCCAGGCTCTTTCATTAGCATTTGCTTCAGTAAAGTTTTATTTTGTTGTTTAGTCATGTAGACATTTTCTAATCAACCTGTTCAAGAGATGTTATTGCACAACTCTGGAGCAGGTGTGACTTGAACTCTGGTCTCCTGGTCCAGAGGTAGGCACACTATCACTGCACCACAAGAGCCCTCATACTTGTGTAACTGCCTAATCCTTGAGTGTTACACTGAAGTGTCAGTGGTGTCCAACAGCTTGTTGCTGGTGTAAAGTTACAACTTAATAAGGAAAATAAGGTATACAATACAAACAAACACTGTACATTTGCACTGACCAAAAAAATTGTGAAGAGCCCGAATACTCAGGGGGCATGTGGATGATCTGGATTTTATGAGTCGTGCTTCTGTTTGACAGTAGCCTCTTCAATACTAAACCGGGCATCATATTTTAATCTGAAGATCTGTATATCTTTCACACATTCTGGAACAGCTTTTGGCTTCGAGGTCAGGATATAAGAGTCTTGTAAAAACTGACTTTAATGGTTCTGAAACCGTGCAGTGTTTCTCCTGGTCTTTCTCCAGGAAACCAGAGCACCCGGAGGAAACCCACACAGACACAGGGAGAATGTGCAAACTCCAAGCAGATAGTCGCCCAAGGGTGGAATTGAATCTGGGTCCCTGGCGCTGTGAGGCAGCAGTGCTGGACCTTGTGCCACAAAGTCTTGTGTATCAAGCAACTGGCCATGTCTCAAAGTTGAAAGGAGTAGTCATCAGTCAGGTCAGAGGACAGTCCGGCACTCTGAGCACACTGAGTCTCCAATATCAGTCCAGGGCTCTGAGCACAGTCAGTCAGCAGCTCAGTGTATTCAGAGGCAGGATCCTTTCATTGTAGGGAATTGTACAGAATAGAACGGACTACTACAAGGAAGTATACCAACAACTGAACAACCAGGAACACTACTGACAGCTACCTGCCAATCCGACCAAAGAGCATACCTGTCAACTAGACCGACTGGTCTAGACTTTTGATCCAGTCCTTCAGAGTACCCTACGCACTCTCATCCCGAGTACCTTTCATGTAGGGGATTTCTACTGCCTTCTGAAGATACACCAAGCTAACACACCTGGATGTTCCATTGTATCAGGCAATGGGACTCTGTGTGAGAACACCTCTGGCTATGTCAAGGGCATCTTGAAATCCATTGTACAGGGAACCCCCAGCTTCTGTTGCGACACTGCAGATTTTTTACTGAAACTCAGCTCCCACAGACCAGTCGAACCAGGAAATTCCTCGTCACAGTGGATGTTTTGACACTCTGTACCGGCATCACCTACAACAACAGCGTTGCCACAACAGCCCCAGTACTCAATACCAACAACTGCCAATTTCCAGATGCCATCCTACACCTCATCCGCTTCATCCTTGACCACAATGTCTTCACCTTCGATAACCAGTTCTTCATCCAGACACATGGAACAGCCATGGGGACTAGATTTGCTCCCCAGTATGCCAACATTTTCATGCCCGAGTTCAAGCAAGACTTCTTTGCTGCACAGAATCTCCAACCAACGCTATACACCAGATACATAGACAACATTTTCTTCCTTTGGACTCATGGCGATGAATCACTGAAACAGCTACACAGCGATATCAACAAGTTTCATCCCACCATTAGACTTACCATGGACTACTGTTTAAAATCAGTCTCATTCTTGGACACACACATCTCCATCAGGGACGGACACCTCAATACCTCAATCTATCGCAAGCCTATGGATAATCTCACGATGCTGCACTTCTCTAGCTTCTACCCGAAACATGTTAAAACAGCCATCCTCTACAGACAAGCCCTACGCATACACAGGATCTGTTTGGATGAGGAGGAATGCGACGGACACCAGAAGGTGTTGAAGGATGCCCTCATAGGAACAGGATACGATGCTCAACTCATTGATTGCCAGTTCCCACGTGCCACAGTGAAAAACCGTAATGACCTCCTCAGAGTTTGGACATGGGATATGATTTATAGGGTGCCCTTCATCGTCCAGGACTTCCTGGACGCGGAGAAGCTATGCCATGTTCTTCACAGCCTTCAACACATTATCGATGACAATGAGCACCTCGCCAAGGTCTTCCCCACGTATGCACTTCTTGCCTTCAAACAACCACCAAACCTTAAACAGACCATTGTTCGCAGCAAACTACTCAGCCTTCAGGACAATATCAACCACAACACTATACAACCCTGCCATTGTAACCTCTGCAAGACATGTCAGATCTTCGACATGGACACTACCATCACACGTGGGAATATCACCCACCACATGCACGGCAGATACTCATGTGACTCGGCCAACGTTGAGTGTCTCATGCGCTGCAGGCAAGGATGCCCTGACGCATGGTATTTTGGTGAAACCATGCAGATGAATGGACACCGCAAAACAGGGATGTTCCCTCCCAGTGGGGGAACACTACAGCAGTCAAGGACATTCGGCCTCGGATCTTCGAGTAAACGTTCTCCAAGGCGGACTTCAGGATACACAACAACGCAGAGTCGCTGAGCAGAGGCTGATGGCCAAGTTCCGTATCCATGAGGATGGCCTCAACTGGGATCTTTGGTTCATGTCGCACTACAAGTGACCCCACTACACTATACACTCTCATACAGACACACACACACATGCACACACACGCAGGCACACACACATATAAGTCTATGGGGTGAATTTGCATTTGCATATTTATATTTGCAGATACATTCTATTTTGTTCAAAAACCACACAATTTGTAGACAGTCAGTCAATGTGGCATTTTATAAATTCCTAATTTAGAAATAAAACCAGTCTGACTCCAAGTCGAAACACAAACAGATTCTAAACAGAGCCTCACACCTAACATGCAATGTCTGACCTGAAATGTCACGTCTTCGTTGATAAAACCTTTACTTATCTCTGGGCACAAATTCGGGGATTTGCATATTAATGAATCGAAACCTGCATCTCCTTTCTGACTGATGAAAGATTTACCAGCATCTTAGGTTTGTTTAATTTGCATCAATGTATGACCCTTTGATCTTTTACTTGTAAATTCTGTTGTCTTTTTGCTTCCTTTCTCACAAGCACCTGAAGAAGGAGAGACTCCGAAAGCTTGTGTTTTCAAATAAACCTGTTGGACTACAACCTGGTGTCATGTGGTTTTTGACCTTGTCCATCCACCTCTGTCCAACTCCGGCACTTCCACATCATTGTAGGGAATGAGGAGTCAAATGTTGGCCAACTCACCTTAGCTCTTTCTGCCCTTTTATGGGCTATTTTCTCCCGTATGGAGCAAAAGCAAAGGATTGAGTGAGATGAAAGTGTCTGGCACAACTTATAGTGTTGGTGAAGATGGGGGAAAGGTGGGAAGGTGGCCCGAGTGAATGAGTAGGCAGTACAGAGGGTGCGCAGGGTTTGTCGTGTGGGGCAGTTGAGTGGGTAAGAGTGAGTGAAGGAAGATGGTACATGTGACAGTGAGAGTGGTAGAGGTGGGTACAGAGGTAGAGATAGAGTGAGTGTGAGATGTATTGGAGAGAAGATGGTGGCACTTATTGTGGCAAACCAGAGAAGGTCATTGACCTTTTATCTACACCACTGGGGGGTCTTTCAGAAAACAGACTGCACTGACCCTTGGACCTGATCGGCAGGGTTTGGTGTTATGAGCTCCTGTGCCAGTCATGGGGAAGAAGATTTCCCTCCTCTATACCACCCTATTCACCAGGACCTCCAGGTCCCTGTCCACAAAATGGGTTCCAATTAGCCCTTCGCTGCCATGTCTGGGGCAAATGTCATAAACCACGAAGGGCAGCTGCGGAGTGATGGTGTTTGACTGGGTGCACAAGGGCCTTTTAAAGATGGCACCGGTGCCAGGGATGCCAGTGAGTCGCGGGATATCCCGGCAGTGCTGAACACTTCCAGCTACGGTCAGTGGAAGAATCGGGCTCGCAGTGAACAAGAAGGGCACTGTAGAGGTGTGATAGGTTCAAGGCTACCCTCCAAGAAACACTACAAAAAAAAAGGACAATTTTAAAAAATATGGTCAGATTTAGCCCCTTATTTTATGCTCCTTAGGGTGGCACGGTGGCTCAGTGGTTAGCACTGCTGCCTCACAGCGCCAGGGACCCGGGTTCGATTCCACGCTTGGGCGACTGCCTCTGTGGAGTTTGCACATTCTCTGTGTCAATGTGGGTTTCCTCCCACAATCCAAAGATGTGCACGTTAGGTGGATTGGCCATGCTATGTTGCCCATTGTGTCCAGGGGTGTGCAGACTAGGTGGGTTAACCATGGGAAATGCAGGGTTACAGCAATAGGGTGGGTTTGGGTGGAATGCTCTTCAGAGGGTCAGTGCAGGCTCAGTGGCGAATGAGCTCTCTCTGTGCTGTAGGGATTCTATGTCACAACCTGCCTATTTATCTGTTTTCACACAATCTGCGTCTTCTTTTAAAAACAGGACTCTGATACATTTTCAATGTAAATTGTCAAAAGGATTTGGGTTTAGCAATTCGCTGGCTAAATAGAGATGCTTCCAGGGTTTGCATGTCTTTTATATTCAGTGACCTTTTGGCAAACTGAATTGCCAACAGCATTTGCTACACACAGTGTGTCCAAAGGGGCAATGAAGTCCTGATTTATGCACAATTGTCATGTGATCCTAACTCTTTCCTGTTGGTGACATCAGTGTTTTTTTTTCTCTCTCTCTCAGCTGTTCCCTGGACAGGATGGTAGCAGAAAGCAGTAGGCTGCTGTAGATTGTGTGAGCACGCAGGTAGGGAGGGATTGGCAGCACAGGCTACTACAGGAAACCGGTCAAAATGAATGGCGTTTTACTGAGGCCGCTGACTAAAATCCATTGACTGATCTGGGAATGCTGATGGAGATGGAGCATCTGTAACCTGCAATGTGTAGGCAGCAAAGGCTGTACAACAGCAATTAATCCTTGTACCAGTGTGGGCCTGCCCTGTAGAAATAGTCTGCAATGCTGAGGATGGAGAGGGGTTAGAAAAGGAAACGAAGCAACGACACAATCTGTCTCAAGGGCCATTGTGTGATTTTTTTTTTTGCTCCCCCTCCTCTGTCTCATCTTTGCAGCGAAGTGACAATTGTTTAGCGTTCGGTGGAGGTGAAATTAAAGCGATAAACAGCGCTCGGCTACGCACCGGGAGGAGCTACCCACTGAATAATTCACCGTCTTCTTGGGGAATGGGAAGAAAAGCGAGCCCATGGAAATATATCTGCTGGATCCAGATTTACTGATGACCACCTCTTAACCTACAGTCCCTGCTCAGTTCAAAAGGATTTGAAACCCTTAAACTGAATTTGCAATTTATTTTCTCTGAAGGACAACCCGTTTGTTTTGAGAAAGGTAAGCCTGGGACAGTGCAGTTTTCTTGTGGCAAATCAAACGTTGTCTTTTTATTTTTTAATAACAGAATGCTAATTGTTGTAGCTGCTGCGTGATAGCCTGTCAGCCAGTGTCCTCAGAGCCTGTCCCCAACATAGACTCCCCTACAGTGTGGAAATCGGCCATTCGGCCCATCAAATCCACACTAACCCTCTTAAAAAGCATCCTACCCAGAGCTACCGCCTCCCCTAGCCCTGTAACCTTGCCTTTACTAATGCTAACCCACCTAGTCTGAGCATCCCCTGATACTATGAGGAATTTAGCATGGCCAGTCCACCCAACCTGCTCGTAAGAGTCACACAGCGCAGAACTGGAGCTCCCGGAGGAACCCCATGGCAGACGCGGGGAGAATGTACAATCTCCACATAAACAGTCGCCCAATGGTTGAGTCCCTGGCACTGTGAGGCAGTAGTGCTAACCACTGAGCCACCATGCTGCCCCTAACGATGGAAAGACATTGACTTTCACCCTCTTAGTAACACTGTTTTGAGAACAGGGCGTCCCTATCTTCTGAAAAGCACCCTGCTTCTGTATTCCCAGGGCTCATCTTGACACCTCTTTAATAGGGGTAGTGATTTTGTCTTTTCCAGTAGCTAATTATTGACTCTCTGTCCCTGTGTGGCTGCTGTCATAACCAATGTTGGTTGCTCTGGAAACGGTTACCGTGGGAATTTTATGAACTCTACCCAGAGTTAAAGCTTCCCCAAAATTTCTTTCTGCAAAGGTGCTCAGCTTCACCTCAAAGTCAGCAATCCGACACCTGATATGTCCAACGAGTCCACGCTACTGATCCACATTCTCCAGAATGGTGAACTCTATCACCAAAATTCAAGTCAAAGGAAGCTGGAGTCAGACTATACCCAGCTCTGGTCAGACGCCATCTCACAAACTGTGCCTGCTTCCAGTAACACAAACATCAGAGCAGCGGAAGATGGAGCCTTGAGCTTGGTTTCCCTCGTAGTATATTCTTGATGGGCCAAAGGGCCACTTCTGTACTGTACAAACCTCTGATTGTCACAGATCATAATTGTGAGGAAAGTTTGTAGGGACAAGCACAGAAAAGTCTGGAACTGACCCTCAGTGGGTCTGGCAGTATCTGTGCAGAAAGAAACAGCGTTAACACTTAAGACCAAAGGCCTTTCAACAGCCCAGTTCTGATGAAAGGTCATTGACCTGAAATGTTAACTCTGTTGCTTTCTCTCCACAGATGCTGCCTGATCTGCTGAGTATTTCAGCTTTTTCTGTTTTTACTTCAGATTTCTGCAGTATTTTGGTTTTGTGAAGACTTAGAGGGGCCTTGGTCATCTCACTGTGAAAGAGGAGACTGAGAGATGAGATTACAGATGGATGTCAAATTGTATCTGCTATGGAAAATGTTAATAGTGTCAAGTGACTTGTGGGCACAGGAAAAGGAGATTAAGGCCCAAAGTGGAAAAAGCTACATCTTGCCTGTTAAGAAAGAGGTTCTTCTTCCATCAGAGGTGAACCAAGGTTTGGAAGGAACTTCCAGGCAAAGTGGTGCAAATGGAAATCTTTAATCATTTAATCAGTGTTTGCGTGAGACTGGGACGGATGGATATATCATGATGGGTTACCTAAATCTCACATCATTCACCGTCATGTGTCCGGGTTCATTTTTCCATTGCATTTATTACATACGGACAATAAATAAATGTAATAATGAAATAGAGTTCAAAAGAAGTTGACATGGGTGGTACCGTGGATAAGCCCACTTCAGTGATGAGAACAGATTGGAGAGGGTGGGACTGGTTTCTAGGGAGAGGAGAAGGCCCGGGAGCATTGACAGAGGTTTTCAAAACAATGAGAGGTCTGGACAGAGCAGATTGGGAAAAATTATCTTCACACATGAAAGGATTGAGAACCAGATGGCACAGCTTTAAAGAGTTGCAAAATAAGAAATGTGAAGTAAAAACTTTTTCACACTGGGCTTTAGATATTTGAGCGACAGTTCTAAGGCAGCTGGAGTCATTTGGAGAGGTAGGGGTCCCTTTTGAGAAACCCCAGTATCTGATCAGGAGACACTGGAATCTCTTTAGATTGTTGAAGTAGACACAACTGTGTGTAAGAATGGGTTCAGTGTATCTGTTAAGGCATTCAAATCTCCAAGCTATTCCGTTACTTTGGGAAAAAAAGAGAGCTTGCAATTATTCCGAAGTTGTTGGTTGACATGAGACAAGATTCTCACCTAGAGAGCAGTGAGAGGACTAATAGCATCAGTCACGATCTTATTGACTGATGGAACAGGCACGAAGAGGTGAAGCATGGAATGCCTACACTGTGGAAGCAGGCCATTCAGCCCATTGAATCCACAGCGACCCTCCAGAGAGCATCCCACCCAGACCCGCCCCACCCCTGCATTTCCCTATAACCCACCTAGTGTGCCCTGGACACTGGGCAATTTAGTACGACCAGTCCACCTCATCTGCACATCTTTGGACTGTGGGAGTAAACCGGAGCACCCGGAGGAAACCCACACAGACACGGGGAATGTGCAAACTCCACATAGACAGTTGTCTGAAGGCGGTATCAAATCCGGGTCCCTGGCATTGTGAGACAGCAGTACGAGCCACTGAGCCACCCTGTTCGAACTGTCTGCTCCTAGTTCATGCGTTCAGATTAACATCAGCTCAGATCGTAACAATGTTAACTTTATATTCACTACCTGACTGGAAAACAAAGAACAAAGAAAATTACAGCACAGGAACTGGCCCTTCGGCTCTCCAAGCCTGCGCCGATCCAGATCCTCTATCTAAACCTGTCACCTATTTTTCAAGGATCTGTATCCCTCTGCTCCCTGCCCATTCATGTATCTGTCTAAATACATCATAAATGACGCTATCGTGCCCGCCTCTACCACCTCCGCTGGCAACGCGTTCCAGGCACCCACCACCCCCTCCGTAAAGAACTTTCCACGCATATCTCCCTTAAACTTTTCCCCTCTCACCTTGAATCGTGACCCCTAGTAATTGAGTCCCCCACTCTGGGAAAAAGCTTCTTGCTATCCACCCTGTCTATACCTCCCATGATTTTGTAGACCTCAATCAGGTCCCCCCTCAACCTCCGTCTTTCTAATGTAAAATAATCCTAATCTACTCAACCTCTCTTCATAGCTAGAATGGATTTTCAAAATCCAAATATACTGCAACCGCCTTACCTACATCTATATTCTAGTTACAACCTTAAAAGGAACGACAGATTTGTCTAGTACAATTCCCATTCATAAACCTGTGTTGACTGTGCAAGGCCTCCAAGATATTTTCATTGATGCTCATCTTCGCCATTGCTAATGGTACTGCTTACAGTGTGCACTGTGCAGACTCCATCTCGCCTTGGCCAAAAATCACAATCAGGATCCTGGAACCTGCATTAACGACTTGAAGAGTGCTGCATTAACAAAGTAAAACAAAAAGTTTATAATTTTAGGCTAATTTTGGTTTTGATATTATGTTAAAGTGTGTAAACTGCAGTTAGATTCACCGCCACTGAAAGCAGTCACATGCCGCAACATTAAACAGGATTTGAGAATGAGAAAGATTACAGTAAAGCAGACAAAGCCCATTGTGTGAATGACCAGTAATCACACATTCTGACAAAATAGGTTTGTGATGTTTGCTGTTTTCGTTGTGGTCAGACTTCCATCTGTTTTTGCTGCAAGTTTATATCTTCCTCGTTTGCTTCTTAAAAGCTATCTTGCCTCTTATTTTGTTCCAATATCATGCAGTGTGATTAATCTGAAAATTGAGATCAATCAGTTGGCAGGATGATGCATAATAAAAGCAGAAAATGCTGGAGAAACTCAGCAGGTCTGGCAGCATCCATGGAGGATCAGAACTGGAAAACATTGGAGAGACAACGGGTTTTGATCTAGTGCAGAGACAGGGAAGGTGGAAAGGGAAGAAAAGAACCAAAGGAAATGTCTGTGATAGGATGGAAGGCAGGAGAAATTCACTGCAAAAAGGAAGGACGATAATGGAATCAGAAAATAAATTTTTGGACAATGTTATCGAGCTGAGGCATAACTGTGATGAATTGAATCACCACCAAAAATTGCTTCAAAATGGGAGCAGTGGTTCTGATCTGAAATTGTTGGGCCCAGTGTTGATTTGATTTGATTTGATTTATTATTGTCACATTCACCTAGGTACAGTGAAAAGTTTTGTGTGTGGTACAGGCAGATCATTACAAAGTGCATTAGGGTAATAGAACAGAGCAAGGAATAAGCTGTTATGGCTGCAGAGAAAGTGCACAAAGGTCAATATCAATATAAAATTTGAAATCTGAGAGGTACATTCAGAAGTCTAATAGCAGTGGGGAAGAAGCTGTTCTTGAATCTGTTGGTACATGTGTTTAAGTTTTAGTATCTTCCAGAAGGCTGTAAAGTGCCCCTAATTGCAAACAGAGGTGCTGTTCATCCAGCACGTTGTTGGAGTAGTGTAGGAGCATGCAGAGCTCAGGATGGCAGCAGAGGAAGATATTAAAATGATAGACCAGTGCAAGCTTAGCATCACACTTGCAAACAGACAGTCAGTGTTCTTTGCCTGATCTGCTTAGGCAATGCCATATTATCACCAGAAAAGCCAATGTGGATATGTCAATATGGTATGATCTACCTGTACTGCACACAAAACTTTTCACTGTACCTAGGTACATGTGACAATAATAAATCAAATCAAATCAACACTGGGCCCAACAATCTTGCATTAAGCCACTTTAGCTAACTTTGACTGGATCCCTCACTGACAGCTGATACACCTTGCCTGCACATTGCTGACCTCTTTGTCAGCTCTTCTCCCCAGGGTGAAGAAATCATCCCTAGCAGTCTGAACAAAGACAGACCACGACAAAACAATGAATATGGGTGTGAAAAGAGGTTTGCTTTCCAATGTCATCTCCCAAATTGAATGCACTTTGAAGGATTTGCTTAAATTCCAGGTAATTGC